ATAATTCAAGGTATGAATTTACATAATACTCCTTCCTCCTCACATTTCCCCCACAAGAATCTTATAAAGTGGGTTGAGCTGAGAGAAAGTGACTGGCTCAAGGCCACCCAGCCAGTTTTTCATGCCTAGGTCTTTTCACAGTCTTTTACTTGCTAGGCCACCATCTTAACCACCACATCGAACTGGTTCTCATTAGTTCATTATCTCATTATCATACTTCAGACATATTATGTGATGTTTTAGCTCTCTGGAAAAAGCTGTAATGCTAGAAAAAAGGAAAGAGAAGACAACCAGCAGCAAGATAGCTGGAGTCAATTATAGAGTAACAATCGGTGCACAACTGGAAAACTTGAAGGATCAAGTTCGGGAAAGACTTGATGGCACATGATCAGCATCTTCAGATCACACTGTATCTATTGCAAACTAAAGGCTACTTTTAACAATTATCGTTGAACGCTATGATCAATTCTGGTAAGCCCATGTTTGCCATGGTAATCATGAACTCATGAGCTGCATAAGACTCCTTTCGCAGGATAACATGGTTGAAATCAAGAAAGATCCAAAGCTACAGGAATTCCAACCTGAGCCTCAAGGAGAGGATTGCCTTTAATGTTACTTAAGCCCTAAACCGAGAGCATAATTAAATCATAGTGTTGTAGAAATTCTCCAGAGGAACATTTAGCTGAGAGGTCATTGTGATCACCTTCATCATATTAGGGTCTTTATCATTAAATATTTGGGCAACAGCATAGGCCTATTAAATAACATATCCTCTTTTTTTCATTTTTTAAATGAAGTACATTTCCTCAGAATTTAAGTTGTTAATTAGCTAGAGATGTCAACAAAGAAAAGTTTGCTGAATTAAAAAGTAGGACAATATTTTAATTATAAGAGAAAAACAATAACAAGCAAACTATAATGACAAACCTTTCCCAACAGCGATGGTGAAAATAAGAAAATATATGAATGCTCAGGAAATACCTATTCACTTTAAATGGCTTTATAACTTCAACATCAGTACAGAAAAAACTGGCTAATTATGGGACCTAATCTTACGTATTATCACTGAGAACTCCTGAAGAAAATTTGATAAGTAGATGATTGAAGAAGAGCATATGTAATTTTTATCTTCATAAAAGAAAACAAAAGAAAAACATCCAGAGAATTAAAGGGAAGTTACTTTGACAATGATACTTGGGAAGATTCTAGAGAGAACATAAAGATTTTGATCTATAAGTACATCAAAAATAATGTAAAAATTGCCAAAGTCAGCACAGAGTTATGAAGCACATTGCCAAGCTAACCTTTTCTCATTTATTGATTTTCTTCTTTCTTAGTAGATTGTGGGAATGTCATAGTTTGGTTTTAGTGAAGTTGGCTTAAAGAACAGCTATTTGTAGCTCCTCATTCATTGGATGGAGCCCTTCATCCTTCATCCTTCAATTTCTATTGAAAACTTAGATGAAAAGGCCGGAGAGAATGCTTATCAGCTATGCAAATGATACAAAATGGATAGGATACCAATAGTAGTGGTGGGTTCCTCCCGGTTCGGTCTGGTTCGGCTGAGCCGGTAGCTGTGACGATATGACATCACCGAACCAGTTCTCCCCCCCGCCCTCCCACCCACCCACCCACCCACATTATTCTTACTTTTTATTTGGTCCCACCCCCAATCTATTGCTGCTTCCTGAGTCCCAGCTGATGACTAGAGGGAAAAAAGCTGTTTAAACTCTTGCCGCGGGGCTTCAAAGGGCCGTCCTACAGCTGATCAGTGTTAAAAGCAAACAAATGAGTCAGGTCGTAAGTGCGAGGACTTGTCGTAAGTGTGAGGACCTTCCAGAAATGACTCTGACCAGCTAGCCATGCCCACCTAGTCACATGACCTCCAAGTCACACCCACAAAATAAGCCACGCCCACAGAACCAGTAGTAAAAAAATTTAGAACCCACCCCGGCCAATAGCAATAGCACTTAGACTTATATATCCCTTCATAGTGTTTTACAGTCCTCTCTAAGCAGTTTACAGAGTCAGCATATTGCTCCCAGCAATCTGGTTCCTCATTTTAATGACCTTGGAAGGATGGAAGGCTGAGTCAACCTTGAGCTGAACGAAGAATCGAACTGCTGGCAGGTGGCAGAATTAGCCTATAGTACAGCATTCTAACCACTGTGCCACCATGGCTCTTCAATAGTCTTGATAAAACTTGACAAAAATAAAGTTGAAGATTAACTTGAAAAGCTAAAGAAAAAATATTAAGGAGATAGAAATCAGATGCATGGGTGTAGAAAGGGCTATCTGACTTGGTAATAGTACTTGTGAAAAATTAATTACAAACTAAACAAGTCAGTGGTAAGATGTGTTTATAAAAAAGACAAATGTAATTTTAGGCTACATCAACGGAAGCACAGTTTCTACAGAAACCATAATTCCACTTTATTCTTCTTAGTCAAACTTTACCTGGGGTATTGTGTTCAGTTTTGGATACCATGCTTTATGAAGGATTCAGATAAACTGGGATGAATTCAGAGAAGAGTAACAACAATGATTAGAGCAGTAGAAAATAAATACTATGAGAATTTTGAAGAGTTTTAATGTTTATTCTGGAAAAAGAGGACTGAGAGAGGATATAAAAGATATTCTGATAAGTGCCTGAAAAAAGTGTTACATAGCAGAAAGCAGCCCAAATCTGTCTCTACTATCCTAGAAGGCAGGATTTGGAATATGAGTATTTAAGTTCCATTTGAATGTTAGCACAATGCTCCATTTCAACACTTGAACCACTTATTCAGGATACTGGTTGGCTTGCTTTCACAGGATTTGTTTGAGAGGTGGACAGCAATCTGTTACGCATGCTTTAAAACTGAATTCTCTGCAAGCAAGGGAATTAAACTTCTTGGCTTAAATGGTCTCTTCCAACTCTATGATTCCATGAATTTTTCCATTTTCTGTTTGATGATTTCTAATGCTAATGCCAGATGAGATCACAGCATCTCAAGCAGAAATGAAAGTGCTTCCAAATGCACAACATTTAAATCACTGATGCTGTCTGCTGTTTGGCACCTTAGATATAAAGCAAGCTGGAACCTAGTTAGCCTTAGCAAAGGAGAAAAAACAAGATATTTCTATTAAAATATATATTTTAGAATGATCTGTTTTAGTAGGTAGGATGCTCATTTAGAAAAACCTTAAAAATATCTAGGATATTTTGAGAAAAGTAGTAGAATATCCCCTCTCAGATCAGAAAAAAACTTTGCATTCTATTACACCAACAGCATGAAAATTGCCTCAGAACTAGATTGTATTATCACAGTATACCTGTTCCCCAGCTCCCTCCAGCAAATATAAGGAAATAATCAAAAGAAAGATGACATGTCTCTTGCTTGTCACCTTTGCTCTACTGTTCAGCAGATAATTTTAAGAAAAGAGAAGCTCACATCCAGTAACACCAGCAGAGGCTAGCTGGAGGTATGATTCACTAGTGCTCAGGTTTACTTTTTGATGAGCCTCCAATCAAGACTCCCCAGAATTAATATATCAGCTAATTAAGGATGCTGTGTCTATGTGCTCATTCTTTTCATAAATGGACATTCCATTGCTCTAATAGGGAGTTAATCCAGTCCAAGCTGCTTTAAATTCCTTCACTAGCTCCAAGACAGGAGCTTGATGGATAGCTGAACAAATTTCCTAAATCAAAGACCTACAAACAGAAAAAGATGAAATTATAGTTTCATTCAATGGCACAGCACTTTTTACACACATAAACCCAGAACTAGCAAAAGAACCCAGAAAAGCAGCACTACACAACACACCCAACTTTACCTAATACCCAGAATCATGGACCTGACCAACCTCTGCCTCATTGCCTATTTTCAATTTGATGGACAAAATCAGAGGAACACCTATAGCAGTGATGGCTAACCTTTTCCAGACCGAGTGCCCAAAGTGCACAAGTGTGTCTGAACCCCAAAATGCAATGCACATGCGGCCCTGCGCAAGTGCGTGTGGCTCCCTGCATGCACCCCACCCCCGCATATGTGTGCGCAGCCCTGCACATGCACCGCGTGCCCTGCATGCACCATGTGCCATGCCCCCTGAGCGCACCACACCTCCGCACATGCCACAGATCCCCACATACGCACACAGCCCCCCCACATAATCCCTGCACCCTGTGGATGCGCGGCAGAGACCTGACAACTAGATGGCTGGCGGGAGGCACGCACGCATAGGTGGCAGAGCTGAACTGGGGTGATGGCTCGTGTGCCAACATAGAGGGCGCTGCGTGCCACCTGTGGCACGCATGCCATAGGTTCGCCATCACGGATCTATAGGATCATCACTCTCAAGACTTATAGGAGAGGCTGTAATGCAAGATCTAGAAAGTATAACAACCTGAGTGCAGAAATGTAGGTGAGGGACTGATAAAAAGTCCTTACAATATTTTAAGGGGAAAACACTGAATTATTTAATATCTTTGAAACCTTTGCAATTTATAAGAAAAAGTTGACATTTGGCAAGGGGTTTCTCCATGGATCCATGATTCTATTTCTTCCAAATATAGCACATCAAGGTAGTCAAAATAAACATCTCTGGAAAATCCATATTTGAGCAAGTGAAGGAAATCACAATGCTCAATAGAAAGTATGAATTTGTTTAGCTGATTTATAGAAATCTCAGATTTCATTTGGCTTATTAATACACATAAGGATGGAATTACTTACCACCATGCATGACATCATGCGTATGGAAGAAGAATGGGAGACAAAAGAAATACTGATGAAATTTCACAAAGCCTTATTGTACTTATACATGGAGTTTTTTTCCTGGAAACTGGCATGATGCAAATCATGATCTTGTCATTGCAGGATGCCATGACTGTCATAAAGGTAACTCGTTGCCAAGCACCCAACATGGAGTCATGTGACCATCAGGGGGCAGTGCAATATTTTACAGTGGGTGGGGGAAGGGTGCTTAATGGGCCATAGATGCAATGGAATGTGCATCTGCAAGCAGAACAGGGAGAGGATTTTGCCAACTAAGAACTTTACCAGAAGAAGACTTGGATCAAGAGACTCCATAGTCCTGACCTGAAGGGAGGAGAGGGGAAAGAGATTCAAGGTAACCATTAGAATCTCTCAAGAGAAATCTAGTAACTTAGAAACAGAGGTGGGTTTCAGCAGGTTCTGACCAGTTCTGGAGAACCAGTAGCGGAAATTTTGAGTAGTTCGGAGAACCAGTAGTAAAAATTCTGACTGGCCCTGCCCCCATCTATTCTCTGCCTCCCAAGTCCCAGCTGATCAGGAGGAAATGGGGATTTTGCAGTAACCTTCCCCTGGAGTGGGGAAGGAATGGAGATTTTACAGTATCCTTCCCCTGCCACGCCCACCAAGCCACGCCCACCAAGCCATGCCATGCCATGCCACGCCCACCAAGCCACGCCCACAGAACTGGTAGTAAAAAAAATTGAAACCCACCACTGCTTAGAAAGTTATAGCTTTAATTTGGTGAGATTCTATCTGTTAGGTGTAAGCAAAGAAAGAACTGGACTCAATTGGATCTCATTGTCTCATCCTCAGGCTGGAGTCTGACAGTAAAGCATCTTTTCTGTGGTTATTGTAAATGTGATGTCATTAAGCGACTGGTGGTAAGGCAAAGACTACCTGTATTGGAAAGACTCTTGGCAATTTACAATGTAAAAAATAAAATCAATGAAACAAATATATGCTCATTCATAAAACTCTTAAACCATCAAGATTCTCTTGATAACTCTACATTGAAAGTAGACACAAATCTTCTTGTAAAGATTATTGTAGACAGTAAAGTCTTCATGAGGGAATTCCAATGATTGCCAAATATCAGTTTGGTATCTATAGTAGAATTAAGCTTTAACTTATTGCATTTTTTTTCTTTCTACCTGTGTAGTTTAAAAGGCATGAAACCACGCTCTTTTGGACAAAAGGAATTTTTTCTACCTATTGCTTGTTTCACCAACAGACTAGTCTGTTTTCAGGCTGCTTGTTTCTGACCTTGTGGCAATTGTCTTTCACAAAATTCATCAACTCTCCCAATACATATTATTCAAACAAACAAACAAACAAATACGAATTTTATTTATTAATCAAATTTATATAGCCACCTATCTCACATGAATTAACTCTGGGCAGCGTACAAAACTCCTTAATATACATTATTAAATTTGCTGCCAAAAACTTGTTAAAATTGCACTCTTGAGCACCACAAGAAAGAGTTCCACCTAAATCTCCGCATATGCCATACAGATGTAGCTGTAATAAAGAAATATTGTCTTCTGTTGCCACCCATCTCCATGAAACTTCTTGATTGGGAATGGGGACCCTTTAATATTGTCATTTGAACTGAGTGGATCAGACAGATTGGTCTGTTTAGGATATACCTGGAAGCCAAATCGTAAAACATTTATTGGTTAAAACCAGCTCTAGGAATTGCACACAGTAGCATGTTCAGAGCCAATGTAGTGCCTCCAAAACCAGTGTTATTTAGCTATAGCAGCTGTCATACATCAGCAAGCAGGAAGCTATAGTTTGCATGAATTGGAGCTTCTGGATAGTCTTCAAAAGCAAAGCCATGTAAAGTATACTGCGGCGGAGGTATGGGGACATTTGTTACAGTTGTCAAGTTTTCCTGCTCAAAACAGGATTGCAACTGGCCCACCAGCCAAATTTTGGCTAAGACTTCCCTATGTACAGCCTCCATCCTATGAGTCTAGAGAAGTTTTAAATCAACTAATGCATACGCAATATATCCTATCTTTTTTCTGGGACTTCATCAGTGCTTGATCATGGGGTATCCTTTTATTTGTTTTTACTTATAAGCAGGGGTGAAATCCAAAATTTTTCCCTACCAGTTCTGTGGGCATGGCTTGGTGGACATGGCAGGGGAAGAATATTGCAAAATCTCCATTCCAACCCCACTCCAGGGGAAGGATACTGCAAAATCTCCATTTCCTCCCCTCCTGGGGAAAGGATATTGCAAAATCTCCATTCTCTCCCCACTCTGGGGCCAGCCAGAGGTGGTATTTGCTGGTTCTCTGAACTACTCAAAATTTCCACTACTGGTTCTCCAGAACCTGTTAGAACCTGCTGGATTTTACCCCTGCTTATAAGTTTAATATCCACATAATTCTTATCCAGCAATCTAGATCAAACAGAGAATAATAAATTGAGCATAGTAACAGATCAGTTCCTACAACCCAATATTGGAATAATGGAAAAAAAATCAGAGTGAGGGGGACGAAGAATTTGAAGGCAAGCTTGTACTTTGGGGAGTTATTTGAAATGAGTTCAGAGATTGACAGTCAGCTCCCAAGAAGAAGGTATCTGTGTCTACATCATTCCTTCATGAATCCTTTTATTAACAGACAAAGAGTTTTTTCAAGGTAGAATTGAAAACAATTGCCCCAAGGAGGGAAGGAAAATAGTATGATGAAACAAGTTTCCAAAACATGAGTCTGAACAGATACAGTATATATATATATTTTCTCATGATTCTTCTAGAGCTGAATTGCTAAGCATAGGACAAAAGGGTGTGTGTTAGTTTGAACAACAAATGAGGCAACCACATGCCAATTTTGTCTAAGCACAACCCATGGAATCAATTTGTAGTTCAGTGGATCACTGTAAACCTATAACATTTGGGTTAGTTTAATTATTCCTAATTATTCTTAGGTAAGAGTAGCTTATGCACCCAGCCAGTACTTCAGGTGACTGATGATGGTAAGCGATGTTGAAAACTGCTGGAGGTAATTTCCTGTTTTAGTTTCACATCCAGCACATTCTCCATTAATCCATTCCTGCATGCAAATCAGAGCAAGCAGATGCACCGCTCTGTTCAGCTAGCAAAAATAGCTTGATGTTTATTATTAAAGATTAGCAAAACATAAAAAAAAACTAGAGGGAAAATAGGACAAACACAGACAGATAAACTGCAACTGAAGAAATGGATGGCAAAAGAAATTAAATTTGGACCTTTTACAGCCCACTGGAAATACTGTAATGTTGTAATTAGCATGCTCGTTCCCCAAAGGAAGGACTTTTTTTTTTTTAATTTGATTTATATGCCGCCCTTCTCCGGAGACTCAGGGAGGCTTACAATGCGTTAAGCAATAGCCTTCATTCTTTTGTATATTTTATACAAAGTCAGCTTATTGCCCCCACAAACTGGGTCTTCATTTCACCTACCTTAGAAAGGATGGAAGGCTGAGTCAACCTTGAGCCTTGGAGAGATTCGAACCAGCAGAAATTGCAGGCAGCTGTGTTAATAACAGGGTGCACTAAACCACTGTACTATCAAGGCTTTAACCCTTTCATGTACATAATGGTAACAGACTCAAGAAGGAAAAACTGGCTGAACCTTATTTATTCTACATTTGGTGGGTGAGAATGATGTGTCCAACAAGTGACAGGAAAATGATTTGGAAAAGTCCTGCAGACTTCATGCTAGCATGGTACCTGTTTGCAATTTATTAAAGCTGCCTAAAAATGCTGTTACTGCTTCGAGGGCTGCATTAATTTCAAGGAGTAGAGTGCTTAAATCAGCAATATATACATATATATATTTCCAGATTTGTGCATAAACGTGAACAAAAGTCAGGCTTGCTTTAACAAAGAGCAGAGAGCTCTTTGCTTGCTTGAGTTCTTAAGCACTTTGGAATCATTTTTCAAATAGCCATCCTAAATAACTTGGTGCTTTTATGATGTATAAATCTGTTGAATTTGAGCTACCTGCTTCTCCCCTGTTAAATGGTGCCCTGAACTTTTGCTCCAAATTCCTGCTCAGGTGGCATCCGTGATTATGACTGCAGGTTTCTTTTGCCTGGAATTTGGAACCCTTTCAAGCTGCCTGCAAAGCAAGGCTTTTAAAAATGGCAAGCGCTGCTGCCATTAGCAACTGGAATCATTTTATCCTTTAATAATGGACATAGGTCAAGTCATTGTTCAAATTGCTTGAAAAGCCTCTGTGAGAAAGGTTACTTTCCCCTGCCTAAATCAGTGCCATGGACAATTCCTTCCACTGAAATCTCCCTTGAGCCACTGAATGAAATAGAAGTTCTACCAAGAGATACAATTTTGTTTTAATAAATCCAGAATAGAATGAAAAATAAAACAATGATTACTTTTTGCCTATCTCATGGGAATAGCAACATTAGAAAACAAAGAAACCCCAACTATTTGCTCCCTGAAATATTCTATCTTAAAAGAATGAACAAATCCAATTTCAAGAACTTTTCAGGGAGCTACAGTAAATTGGAGATTGAAGTCTGCTGGCCAAAGCAACAGATAAAATCATATTTCAGACTTACGGCTCATCAATAACTAATGTGATCTTTCAGGTGATGGATATGTACAGTAAAGCTTTGTGAAATTTCATCAGTATTTCTTTTGCCTCCCATTCTTCTTCCACACCCCTAGACCTTGTTATATGTTTTGTCTGAGGAAGCATCCTCACATTTTCTTTAAACTGGCCTATTGGCAATGAATTTCGGTATCCATTCCATTTCAAGGATCTAACAAGAACCATGGCACTTTAAACTTCGAAGAAATTGGGATGACATTCCTTTTCATTTTACACCCCAAAGACTAACTGACCCCCTTTTTTCTGAAGTTCAGTAGATGCTGCCTTTCCTTCCAACAGATCAGAATTCAGCACAGGTAAGAGCAACTGCCTTTTTCATTCATTTTATATAGATTTAAATGGCCTTCTACAAACTAGGAAAGAATGTATAACCTCATTCTGATGATGAGAAATAAATCACTGGAAATTTATTAGAATTGCTAGGACCTTGTCAATATCTCTTTTTTCACAGCAGAGGGAGATGTTTCTCAAAGTAGCAAGGCAGCATCTTTTGATTGCATTTTTGTCAGAAAAGCTGTATTTATTATCTTACTTGTAATTTAATTTCTACTGTATTTACCTTACTGTTTTCTTCCTTGGCTCTGAATTTTTTAATTTTCAATAAAGATTTGTTTTCTAAAAAAGACAAGGTTTTAATCTCACCTTGGGTTTTAATATGCCACAAGTCTCTTTATTGTGATTTGTATATTAAAGATACACAAATTTACTATTAGACTAAAGTTTAAATTTCCTTAAAAAAACTTTTACCTATATCTTTACTCCTGTAGATGTTTTCCCCCTTCCTAGAGCATGCATAATATTAAAGCTTAATTTAACTCTGTTCGACTTAACTTTCAAATAGGGATATTCAGAACCAGGCACTTAATGTAATCTTCTCTGCAAAGTTTGAACTAGAATAATATGTGAATACAATATTACTGCAACACATATGCTGGATATTAAACAAAGCCTGCTGGATATTAATGAACACAGTAAATTTTTATTATGTACACATTTGCTGGTTGTAACATTACTGGACATTTTATATATACACACACTGCACATATATTTTTCATGTGCTGAAATAAATTTTGACTTTAATGCCTTGTAATTAGTTCAGTCTATTAGCAAAATAAAAAACAGAATAAGGAGCTGTAGAAGTTCCAATGTTATGGTACTGCCAATTTCTGTCTTTCCTGGATGTTGTTCATGTTAGATAGGATTAATGGGTTGCAAAGTTCCAGAATGCCTAGCAATGTTAATCTCCCAAGTAAAGTACTATCTAATTCAAAGATGGATCTATAATATCATGGTAGTAATGTATGAATGCTATACAGTCAAGTCAATGGTTGCACATTTATTGATTTATTTATTTTATTTCAAATTTATATACCGCACCTTCTCTCGAAAGACTCAGGGCGGTGTACAGCCAGATAAAAACATACAATACAAACATTAAAAAACAATTAAAAGGATATATATTAATTTGGCCCCAGTTTAAGATAACAAACCAATTAAAAATTAAAAATATGTTAAAAAATATGTTAAGCCAGCCTGGTTTGCTGGAAAAAGGTTTTAAGGGCACGGCAGAAGGCACCGAGGTCTTGGATTCTCCTTATCTCTGGGGGCAGCTGATTCCAGAGGGTAGGTGCCTCCACAGAGAAGGCCCTCCCCCTGGGGGTCACCAGCCTACATTGTTTGGCTGATGGCACCCCGAGGAGGCCCTCTCTGTAGGAGCGCACAGGTCGGTGGGAGGTCATCGGTAGCAGCAGGCGGTCTCAAAGATAACTAGGTCCTATGCCATGGAGCACTTTAAAGGTGGTAACCAACACCTTGAAGTGCACCCGGAAGACCACTGGGAGCCAGTGCAGCTCACGCAGGAGCGGTGTTATATGGGAGTGCCAGGCGGCTCCCGTGATTACCTGCGCGGCTGCATTCTGGACCAGTTGGAGCCTCCGGGTACTCCTCAAGGGGAGCCCCATGTAGAGAGCGTTGCAGTAGCCCAGGCGTGAGGTGACGAGGGCGTGAGTGACTGTGCACTGGGAATCCCGATCAAGAAAGGGCCACAACAATGTAGTGTAGGTATGGCTGAGTTGCACAAAACACAATGATTGATCCCTTCTCCCAAATAGGTTTACTTTAAAACCAGTAAATATGCAAAAGAACAGCAAGAGTTGCCATGTTTCCTTCACACCAAGTTTCCTATACCATTAATAGATGTGTATCAAGAAACTGAAGATAACACTGTAGTTCTGAGCCATATTAACTAGATTTCTATCTGGTAGGTTTTCAGAAGACTCTCAGGGGTGTCAAACTCACGATGACGTCATCATGTGACGGATCACAACTTTTTTCCTTTGCTAAACTGGGGGTGGGGGTGGCCAGCATGTGACGCATCTGGCCCTTGGGCTGCGAGTTTGACACCCCTGATCTAGAGGGTAAGAAATCTGCTAGTTCTATATCTCTGCGATATAAGAAATTATTTAATGAAATTTGTTAACCAGAGTGTTGAAGAAAGCATTCTTGGCAGGATTCTTAAACTATAAACACAATGAGTGGTTAATGTAACATGCTAGCTAAAGCCAAACAAAGAATGCATTACTTAATCAATAAAGGAGCATATTTGTAGCTCAGGGTTGAAATGAGGGGTTCTTGGTGCTCTCTGAATTTGGTTGGTTTTTTGCAAATGTTTCATTATCAAACTAGGTAACATCATCAGTGCTAGTTATTAATACACTAGCACTGATGTTATCTAATTTACATCTCAAAGAAAACAACCAAGCTCAGAGAGCACCAAGGACCCTTCATATTGCTTAATATGTATCCAGTTAGGATGATACAGTGTTCAATTTTTCCTTTGGCTTTGTATTTCTCTAAGTGAATTTGGATCAGTCATTATTTTTAATCTAAGTCATTTCACAGGCCTGTCATACACATACTATTGGAGAGAGGAAAAGAAGCATTTTATATTCTCAAGCTCCTTTTAGGAAAGGTGAAATAAAAATGTAATTGATATAGATAGGCATCTGTCAAAAGCTGTAATGATGTCAATGATATGAATGATTATTATTGTGTGCAATTATGAACTGTGTAATGATTTATATGATGACCTTGTAATCCCCATGGTATTTGCTTACTCTTGACCAATGCTCATATAATACATTTCCTAAAGTATGTACTAGTCTAACTCAGTACACAGGAGGGCTTTCTGATCCCCATTTAAATTTGTTTATCTCTAATAATGTAAAATCTTCATGGCCTGTTCTAAACATAAAATAGATTTTTATGGATTGCATTCTTGGAAGTATTATAACCATCAGCCCAAATCAATTGCACTGTGTCTCTATGCATACAACTGATGTGTCTATTTTTGTCACGCCAGGGCCATGATATTAATCACATGCTAGTTCTCTCACCTTTCATAGGTAGGTAGGTAGGTAGGTACCAATCTATTTAAAGACACACAAAATAAAGCCAGGGATTTCTGGAAAAAGCAACGCAGTCCATGCAAGTATCAGCCAACCTCATTCAGGGGTGGCTGTGCTTATGCCAAATTTTTGAATTCAGCAGGAGAAAATCCTCTGCCAAAGCCATTGCCAGAAAATTTTGTGAATCATGCAGATCATTTGGCTTTAGCAAACTGGCAATGCTTCATACCTACATGAGCAGTTCAACCACATCTTACTGTGTTTCGTGCTGCAGTTCAAGGACCTGCACGCAACCCTTTTCCACCCAGTGTTGTTGCAATGTTTCTTAATATTTTTGGAGAAGAGCAAAGGAATCAATGAGATGTAGTTGGGTCTCATCCACATGCTTAGCTTGTGTGAGTCTGCTCTACTGCCTCCTGCAGTGAAGTGTCATCTGTCATTTTTTTCTTCTTCTCATTTTTCTTTTCTTGTTGATACTGTATGCTGGCTGAATCCAGTCTCCCTCCACACTAAACCGGAGAAAAACAGCAGAGATGAGGTAGCATATCTCCTTTTGTGATAGGTAATGAACTTTTCAGGCCTTTACTCTAAGCATTTGCCATGTATAACATGGAAACCCAGGTTATGCTAGAAAAACAAAGAATAGGATTGTGGGGAATGCAAATAGTCAATAAACAAGAAGCAAAAGAGGCAAAGTAATGGTAGGAAGGATTACACTGGATGGTATAGAATGTATACAATAGACATTATGGCTTCATCAGTTCTGTCTCTGCCTCCATTGGTTTATGAACTATTTGAGCTTTTTATAGGCTTTCATTCTCTAGTCCATGGTGTCAAACTTGCGGCGTCATGTTGCTGTCATGTGACATTTTGTGATGTTTTTCCCATTTGTGGAGCTGGGATGGGCCTGGCTTGTGCGTGACACATCTGGCCTGCAGGCTGCCAGTTTGACACCCCTGCTCTAGTCTGCCTGCTAGTACAAAAAGCTCACATCTGCTTCAGTTTCTAATTTATTCACTGACACTGTTTCCTATGAGGAAAAGTTTTGCTCTCATGATACTTGCAATACTGTAGGTGTAAAAAGGATATTTTGAAATATGAGCGTATTACAGCTATTTGATTTTTTTAAACTTGAGGAACATGTGACACTTTATCAGACAGAGGTTTAGAGTTTACAACTGCTCCCTAAATGAACACCAAATTTCTGTTAATTTAGTGAACTTGAATTCCAGACAGGGCCTTTTGATTTTAATCAAAAATAAAATAAAAACTCAAGATAAACAGATTATTCAAATAACACTAAGGTTGGTGTCTGCCTTTGCTACAACATTCTGCAACTGTTAGAAATCAAGCTTAACAGTCAAACTTGGAGCTATTAGGAGACACAGAGAGAAATACAATAAAGTATATTTTGGATATAAAATGCTTTGTCTCTCTCAGTGGAAATTAATACGTGGCTATAACTTTTATTGTGAAAAAGTTCTGAATGACAATTACAAGTGTAGTCAAACCTATTGGAGGAACATCACACATTTTGTTGTAATGTTTAATTGTACTGAAATTAACACCAGGTCGAAAATAATTGCAAGCTTGTTTATATATGGGTTTTAACGATAAAAATCAGTCCAGAACAAATTAGCAATGCTTGTGGAAAAAAAATATAATATTGTCTCTTTGTGTTCTTTTAGATATCTGTTTGGAATTAAGTTTCTACAGTAGCCATAGACATTTCCTCATGCAGTATTATGCCTGGAAGTTACCAAATGATGACACCACAATTGTCACAAGTTATGCCAAACAAAGTTAATAAAAGATGCTCCTGGCTATTGTTCTAATCTAGAAAACCAGAGATTCTTTTTTTTTTTTTTTTGTACAAGTGCCTCCAAACTGCATAGCTGCTCCTTCTGGGTGAACATAATCTACATCTAGAAAATAGAAGCCTACCAGTTTTACAATGACTACCTCCATGTTACCTGGATATATTTTTAAAAAAATTATTATCTCTTATTCAACCCATTATTTAGTACAGGGTAGTTTTCAGGGAGCCTCTAAATTATCTAAAGATGTTACAGAGGAAAAACATGTGTGTATCATTTCCATTTTGGAGAATATCATTGTGAGATCTGGAGTTGGGTGCAAACCTAATAAACAGAATGCAGCACAATGTATAGCAAAGCAAAATGTAAGACTGACTAAGCTAAACACTTAGCGTCCTTTCTCCAAGTAGTAGAAACCCATGATGAAACATTCCCTATGTTTCGACGATTGTCCAGCCAGTCAGGATTCCTTCTATCCCATTGTTTTTGGGTATCTCCACAAACCATTTGCCTGATTTTCTATAGTTCTCCCAAGAGTGAAATAATATATTTTCAGGTTTCAGAAAACTCTAGATTTGTTTTTGTCACTTGATAGAGAATCCAATTTTTTGGGCAACCATCTAACAACTGTAAAGTAGATTGATTTGGCTATGTCCAATGTACATCTCTAAAAACAAATGAACATGGTCTGGAAACTTGCTTGTTTCCCCCTCCAAGGTTACTGCCACAGACACTTGGCTACTAGGTGTCCCACCTATTGGTATTTTTTAGGTTTTCTGGGGAGAGATTTGTTCCCTGTTGAAGATTTTATTTTTAAGTGTTTGTGACAGCTCACATCCTCCTTTCCAACTCCAGTAATTAAATTCCACCTACCTGAATTTCCCCCTGCTGTTTCAATTGAGCAAATTAATCTTCATACTATATTTTAACTGTAATCGGAAATGTTAAACAGCTGTTTTTGTTAAAATAAGAGATGAAATATAAAAGCGACTGTATCTTGGGTGTGGAAAGCATGCATTTTTTCTCAACAAAATGTTTGGCTGTTCTTTCTCTGCTTAATTTGTTTAATGTATGCATTAACATAATCAGAAATCACCCTGTACCTTTTGGGTACAAATTTTCACAACAACAAATAATGTTGCAGAATAGATCTACGCAGAAGTAAATAAAATAAAGTTGTGCTGTGTTGCTGGAAAAAAAATGATTTTTTAAAGCTTTCCCACCAGTTATTTTTTTTTCTCAGCAATTTATTCTTTCCTAAAGCATAAAATGATAGTTCGACACCAAATATCAATTGTCTCTGCACAAACTATTATATGTGATTTCATTGTGTTTTCATTTGGTAATAATGATGAAATGTAACTTTTTTTTTTAAAAAAAGGAAAAAACAAAACAAAAAATACTTATTGCCCTGGAATAAAGTGAGTTCTTTTACTACTCACTTTAGGCCTGTAAACGAAGAATTGTCTCCAGGCAAACAAGTAAGTAAGTACCTTTAAGTTGGAAAGCATAGTTGGATCCTCCTTATAGTAGTGGATATATCAAATGCCTTGCACAAGTATTACCAAAATGATTAAACACAAGAGACCTCTGTGCACTGGAAATTCTAGGTATCTTCATCACAAACCAAAAAGTTATCAATTGTTGCTAGTTACTACAGAAACATCATGAAATGTTGTTAGAAGAGGCAGAAGGTAGATCCAGATTTACTAGTGCATCCCTGGATAATTTACTGTTGATGGCTTATTAGTAACTAGATGTAGGAGCATCCTTGACCCATCAGCCTCAGCCTGCATGTTAAGCGGCAACAGACTGTGCGAACTTTAGTCTAAAAGAACCAGAAGTTTTGTTGATCTTGCTATATACGCTAACCAGGATTTGAGATTTCCAATTATTTAACAATAAGAGCAACAAAGCAACCCCTCCCCCCAAATACTGTTGCTGAAATAGCAACACTAGTAATAAAATGGGTAGCTAGGATGTGAACTCCCCCCCCCACATTTGATTTGGTGATTCAAATAAGATTTCTGGCTTAAAAGTCTTTAATTCTGAAGAAGAGACTTTTGAGCAAAGACAAGATGTCACAAGCTTGGAATCTGCCAGCCCTACCTAAGAAGAATTATTTTTCAAGATGTGCCTCTGCAGGCAGCCCCTTCTTGTGGTTCTTCCTTTTGCTTCAGGAACCAGCAGAAAAAGATTATTCAAAGGAAGCACTCCAGTTGCGGGCAGCAACTTGCAATACAGGGTACTGCATATGCTTGGAGTACCTTTCTCTTCTGTCCACACCCATCAAGCAGGAGAATTCCCCCCTCCCAACCCCTCACGAATGTGAGTATTACTGCCTGACACCTAAAGCCGAAAAAGTATTTTATACAGACTGTCCTGCCTACCCATTGGTGTAATAACGGGCAAAGGATAGACGAGGGCGGGATGAGGAAGCGGGAAAATTGCGCAACTGGAGGCTATTCTTTTCCCTCGCGCGCTTCGTCTTGAAATAACTTCAGCTGACTCGCAGAGGATGGATGGGCGCCCGAGGGTTTAGATGGAATCTGACACAAACGCGCAGGGCATCACGCTATTCGCACCCAGCTCCTCTTCGCCCCGATCCTCTGAAGCGGGGCCCGTAAATGCCAAGGAAATACCAAGTGCGTGAAGGCGTTCAGCAGCCGTTAGGATCGCGAGTGGTTGTTGCGCCATCAGCCAAACCGCATCTTTTCCTCATAGACGGCTTTCCTTTTCCCTCCTGAGAGAGCCGGGTCGGGCGTTTCTCCCCGAACTCGCTCCAAAGTTGCCGCCTTTGGGCCCCTCAGCCCCATCCCAATTCAGCCAGCCGAGTCCACGCCGGAACCGGAGTGAAGCCGGCCTCTCGAACTCTCTCAGCCCTCTAAGCTCGCCGCCAATTCCCCGCCGGAGCCTCCCCCGGGCTCAGGCGATCTCAATCCTCGCGGGGAGCTGGCAACAACGGCGCGGCGGCGACAGCTGCGGCAGCGAAGCTGAGGGCAGGAAGGCGGTTTGCGAGACAGCCCTTCCCGGCGGGCGAGCTTGACCTGGGTAAGGGATAAACAGGCAAAGCGAAGCGCGCCACCCCGCCTGCCTGTCAATTCGGCCCGGGAGTGCGCGGTCGGCGGGGAAGCCTGGCTACTATTCCCAGGGCAGGAGGAAGTGCGGCGGACCGATCCGCGGGCGGGATTTCATCCGAAATCGGTGCCAGCAGAGGCGGGCGGGGGGGGGGGGGGGAGAGGCTCTCTCGCTTTACGCCGGTGGCTTGAGCCACGGAGGGATCCCTTCCTTTGGCGCCCGGGGAACCCGGCAGCAGGCAGAACCGCCGGGGGACTGCTCTTCTCCGATCCGCGGCTTGGAAGACCCATCCGCTCCGTTTCCCCACCCCCTGGCGCCTCCCCCTCCGGCTCCCTCCTCCCCTGCCCGCCAACCCCACGCGGGGAGGACGGCCCGGGACTGCCAGCGCCGCTCCCGCTCCTCTTCGTCCTCTCCTGGGCTTGCTCCGGAAAGGGGGTGGGGGTGGTTACTTCGCCTTGCCCCTCGCGGGGCTCGCCTGAACTCATCTCGCCGGCAGCGCTCTTGGCCGCTTCAGAGGGGCGGGAAGCGTGCCAGTCAGCTCCAACCCCGCCCCGCCTCACCGCTTTTCGAAAGCCAGAAGACTTTTTTTTCTCCCCCTCCGCCGCTTTCCTCGCTCTTCTCCAAACTAAAGATGAGGCGGCTGAGTCGAAGGCTGGCGTTGTCTGTCCTGGGGATCTTGTGGATCGCCGCTCTCCTTCTCTTTCTCGGGGCCAGGAGGAAGTTGGAAGCGGCGGGACCCGAAGGGCGGCAGACGCCAAAGGTACGTGAGGGGCCCGCCCCGCCTCGCCTCGCCTCCTCGGTGGGATCTTGGCGGGGAATAAAGGGGGCCAAACGGGACTGGGTGATACCGGCGCGAGGACAACGGGGCTTTAACGCTGGCCGGGAACGCGCGACAGACTTCGGATCCGAGCGGCCAAGTTGGTTCGGGTACAACAAATCAGCATCTCCGAACCCACGTGGTGACCAGACACCTGCTCGTCTTTTGCTCGGGCGGAGCTTGGGTCCCCCCCCCCCACTTGGCGGCTGCGGTCGCTCGACGGAGGGAGCCTCCTCGCTCGGATTCCCGTTAAAAAGAAAGCGGGTTTCCCCGCCAAGTTTCGTTTCTTTTTCTTTTTCTTTTTCAACCCGCAGGGAAAGTGGGAGAAAGGAGAGCGCACTAGCCGTTTGCAAAAGGGTCCTGTGTGGCTTGATCGGGGTGCCTTTGAAAGGGCTTTATTTACGGGGTGTGCTTTGCCTAGGTGAACCGAACCATAATTCACGCAGTCAACACAAGTTTCTGGTTCCACTAGTAAATCATTTGGACGGAATGGTGGCTGAGTTTATGCAGCGCCCCAGGCTAAAGCGGTCTTGGCTCAGAGAGGTCTCCGGTGGGGGAAAGTGATACTGGTTTGTCTGTTGCATGTATGTGTGTATATATCAGTGTGGTATTATAAATCTACACACACATGAGCACAAACACTGTGTGTGTGAGTGCAATGTTACACTTAATAAAAACATAAAACACTCTGCCTGACAGCATGTTCTTGCGTGTAGAGGATTTTCTGATTCCTCCACACCCCTCCCCCACTTAGCTGTCAATAGTTTGGCCCGAAGCCAATGAAGGAATGCCCTATAGGTGCCCTATAACACCGGATCCTAAATGATGCTTCTGGCACCTTTAAAGGGAGGTTGTGGAATAGTTGGAAGGAATTATATGTTTTGGTCCCTTAAGTATAGTACTTGCTTGAAATAGATAGGGATGGAGATTGCATTTTCCCCCCTTCCCTTCAGTTTTAGGGTATTTTCACAAGGAAATGCTAAAGGCTTTTAAATCTGAAATGAGTTCACTTCTTAACTGTGCTACAGCTGGAAAGAAAGTGAGAGACAGTTTTAAACCAAATGTGCGTTTAACTTAGAGGGATTCTATATTCAAGTTGCAGAAATGGGAACCGTGGAAAACAAATTTCAGTGTCATTTGTGAAAATGGCCTTAATGCCTTTAAAATGTTCTTGTTTAATAGGATATTCAGCTTTTGTGAATGGTTACAAGAGTCTTTAAACTAGAATGGTTTAGTGTTGTTCTTGGGGACAAAGTGCACTTCCTAGGTCTATAATTTGAAGATTAAATCCTGCAAAACATATGTATTTGGTTCTGCTGTAGAATGTTTTATATATATATATATATATATATATATATATATATATATATATATATGCGCGCGCGCACACACACACACACACACAAACACATACATACACTCTCCATAGTGTATCTTAAGTAAAAGTTTAACTTCTGATTTACTTTCCAAATAGCAATATTCACCCAAAAACCACAATATTCTTATGGCTTTACCGCATGGCAGGACTTACATTATTTTAAGAATGTTTTGCAGTATAATCCTGTGCATGCTTACTTGAAGGTAGATTCCACTTTGTATAGTCCCTGTTCATGCTTTTTCTGAAACTAAGCCACACTAAACAGGAATAAGATTTTGCTGTCCCATCACACTTGTTACAAATTCTTTAAAGAATTGTATTTCAGTGGGTCTCTTCCAGGTCTTTTGCTACCTTGATGTAAACCTGTTTAATGATGTTAAATAGATACTGCTCCAAATTGGGCAGACTTTGTACTAAAGACATTCCTAAATTTTGAGGTATTTGGCATAATTTGGTATATTTCTAGTGAAGTAACACAGAAACCCATTCCATATTTCTGTAAATAGCAGTGTTCACCATGATTGTTCCAACTTGTTATCTGTAGGTAAAGAATTATTTTTCCAGCAACTGAGTAAATAGGTAGTTCTCGATTTATGGCCACAACTGAACCAGAATTTTCATTGTTAAGTAAGGTGGTTGTTAAGTGACTCGTGCCCAATTTTATGATCCTTTTTGCCATGGTTGTTAAGCGATTCACTGCAGTTGCTAAGTGAACAATGCAGTTGTTAAGCAAATTTCCCATTGAGTTTGCATGTCACAAGTCAGCTGGGAAGGTTGCAAATGGCGATCACATGACCCCGAGATATGGCAACCTTTGTAAATACATGCCAGTTGCCAAGCTCCCAAATTTTGATCACATGATGTGGGATGGCTGCAACAATCAACTAGTCTCCCTTTATTTCTTTGTTGGTAAATATTAATTTAACACAAAGATTGCTGCAATAGTTGCAAGTGCAAAGAATGTTGTAAATCACTTTTTCCAGTGCTGTTGTAGTTTTAAATGGTTGCAAATTGAGGACTACTGTATACCCAAACTGAAACTGAAACTTAATAAACCATATAGATTAGCTCAGTCACCCCTCTGTACATTGTGTAATATGTTTTTGCTTGAGACTGAATGTACATTTTGTAAAATTATTTGTTTTAATCATGATTTGTGGAATAAGCCACATTGGCCAAGATGTCAGAATAGCTTATTTGCTGCTAAATTGTAAACAAATCACATTATGCCTCGGAGCAATGCATGAACCCATTTGTTATTGTTGATCGGGACTGGCAGAATGTGTAAGCAAATAGCATTATGGTTGGAAGATTGGCTGAAAAGAATGGCTTTATTTAGAATATAATTTACAATTATTCAGGCACATTCATATATGAAGGCAGATGCTGTATAATAAAAATGCATTTATCATCTGAACTGAAATTGTTAACTTTATCAGTTCAAAAGACTGTTTCATTTTTCCTTTGGGTGTATGTTGTCTGCTAGAGGTTACATTAGTTCTACAGACTGGTTTGGTTCCAAGCTTAATGATTGTTCAGATATAATGATTTTGGTGAACGCTGCAACCTTATATTAACTCAGAGTCCAATTTATTTTTAATAGGTGATATGCAAACTGACTAACCGTGTTTCTGTGCAGGTCTAAAAATGCAATAATTAAACTAGTGGGCAGTGTCTCAATCAAGCTTTCCACTCATGTCACTGGCTGGGAATGTCCTGGGCAAGAAAAAGAAGCAGTTTTTTTTCTTTCTTTCTTTTTTTTAACCGCAGCCTTTCCAGCTGTAGATGTGCTGGACTGAAGAATAAGTAAGCTTTTTTCCTAAAAAAATAATCATATTTTAATGTAGTATAACCTTACTGAAATTTGCCTTTTTAATAAATAAGGCAGAAAGAAGTTGATTTTAAAACCTTGAAATGTGAAAGAAACACAGTCCACCCTCCCCCACCCCAATCTAGGCCTACAGAGCTCTGAATCCTGGTCATGAATTTCAGTTATGGTTGTAAAGATATGGAGGACAGGTTTAGCAAGGCCTGCCAAGACTTTGGACTAACTATCAGCCTGAAAAAAACATCAGTCATGGGTCAGGACGTGGATTCACCTCCCTGTATTACAATCTCTGCACAAGAACTGGAGGTCGTCCATGACTTTGTGTACCTTGGCTCAACTATCTCTGACACTCTCTCTTTAGCTACTGAGCTGAATAAATGTATTGGTAAAGCGGCCACCACATTTTCCAGACTCACAAAGAGAGTATGGCTTAAAAAGAAGCTGACGGAACATACAAAGATCCAGGTCTATAAAGCCTGCGTCCTGAGCACACTCTTGTACTGCAGTGAGTCTTGGACCCTCTACGCATGGCAGGAGAGAAAGTTGAACACCTTTCATATATGCTGTCTCCGATGAATTCTTGGCATCACCTGGCAGGACAAAGTTCCAAATAGCGCAGTCTTGGAACATGCTGGAATTTCTAGCTATTGAAACAGTGACATCTATGCTGGCTGGGGCATGTCGTGAGAATGGCTGATGGTTGGATTCCGAAAGATCTCCTGTATGGAGAATTAGTGCAGGGAAAGCGCCTCAGAGGGAGACCACAGCTGCGATATAAAGATATCTGCAAGAGGGAATGGACATTAACAACTGGGAAACCTTGACCTCCGATCATTCAGCTTGGAGGTTAAAGATGCAGCATGGCCTTTTCCAATTTGAAGAGACACTTGTTAGGCAGGCTGAGGCAAAGAGGCAGTCCTGGAACCAGCGAAATATGGGGGCTGGGCAGGGGACAGAATGTTTCTGCCTTCAGTGTGGAAGGGATTGCCACTCTTGAATTGGCCTTTTTAGTCACACTAGATGCTGTTTTAGGACCTCTTTCCAGAGCACAATACCATAGTCTCTTGAGACTGAAGGATACCAGTGAATGAATGTAAAGATAAAGTTGACATCTTTTTTTCTTTTCTGACAGTCTGCTCATCTCTAAGATGTATAAACGAGATGCTGTGCCTACTGACTTAGACTGATACTGTTGAATGAGAATTTTGTTTTTAAAAAATACCTGAACAGAGGTCACAAACATCTCCATTAGTAGGACAGAAAGAACCTGGATTTCACAAACTTTTGACTGTGGAACGATCAGAAATATTTCCCTATCGTTGGCTATAAGCACCATTCACTTCCACCATCGTGGCTGAGAATGATTGGAATTGCAGTACAGTACATCTAGAGCCGTGTTTCCCAACCTTTAAGATGTGTGGACCTCAACTCCCAGAATTTCCCAGCCAGCAGGGGAAAATAGCTAGGGAATTCTGGGAGTTCAAGCCCACACATTTTAAAATTGCCAAGGCTGTGAAACACTGATCTAGAGCAGGGGTGTCAAACTTGATTTTATTGAAGGGCCACATCAGGGTTGTGTTTGACCTCGGGGGGGGAGGGCTGAGTGGGCGTGGCTGGGGTGGGCATGACTGGGGTGGGTGTGGACAGCTCGACATCCCGCATCCTGCTTGCAGCCCTCCCGGGCTCCATTTTTGGCTGTGATGGCCTCCTGCAGCTCTCTGCCAGTGAAAACCCTTC